TATACATGTATATAGTATTGATATATTTATAAGAATTTTTTTATTGCAATATCAAAACAAAAAAATCTGATTCCAGTATTAGAATTGCTAGGCATGTGTAGCAGATTCCTAGCCTACACTAATGTCTACCTATATTAATAGAGGAGTTTCTTATTTTCAGTTCATGAGTATAAGAACAGGCCAGTGTAGTGGTGCTTCCCCATACGGCATACCTAGTAGATTTATAACCGCATGGCAGCAGCTAATGTAGTACTCCTTTAGCTCAGTTGGTAAAATAATGTCTTACTTAACCCATGGTTAGAATAAATACCACATTTTGTAGCCAGGGGAAATGATGAATATATAGTCCATATAATATAATGACTCTTGAGGTGGGGGAAGTGTACAGGTGCTTTCCCTTAGTAGATTTATAACCACCCTACATTAGCTGTGCTAGTGGAGTATTCCTTTTAATAGCTAAAGTTGGTTGAGCGGTGGCTTACTGTGCCTGGGTTCCCTCTTGCTGGTATATGATCCGGGTAAACTTATCAATCCTTTAAATAAACTTATTCTTAGAGGTTACCAATTCAACACTGTAATTAGATCTTTGAATATTGTTTTTATAGATATAGATATTGATTTTGTTATCAGTATATTAAAACCATACTAAATATTATTGTTATACACATATGCACATTCACAGTATTAAATCTGTCGATACCTATTTTTTGGTATTGCACAAGGTCATGCTTTTCTCTTGACTGTTAATGAAGTCTTTACACTAAATCCATTGGATATCAGATGTGTACTGATTGATATTTTAATCTGAGATACCTGATTTTTTTATTAGTTGTTATTTGCTTTGAACTAGCTGTCAGTAACTGAGAGTACTCTTAGATCTATACTTAGCGTCTTTTTTGTTGTGAGATGTTTAGATATGCTGCCACTTCTGGTCTATGTTTTCATTACAGATTTTCTGCTTTGTATTGATCTGATGAGTTAAGCCCTTTAAAACTGATTTTTATAGTGTGTTCTTGTGTGTACTGTTACACCACTGTCCCAGGTAAGGGGGAGGATTTGGCACCAGCAAATTAGTTTAACCCTGCCACATTCTGTATGTGCTGTCCCAAGTCAGGAGCCTGTAGTGCAGTGGTTGTGTGAACGTGCAAAAAGATGGTTATTTTATTAATTTGAACTTTACTTTAAATTCACAATTCTGACATTTTAGACTTAAATACATTGTCTTGTTTAATTATTTATTTCAGTCCCAAGTCCGGAGCCTGTAGTTCAATGGTTGTTGTTGGTTCATGTCTGTCATATCTGTTTTTCGTAAATTGTTTTGTTATAAATTAGACCGTTAGTTTTCTCAATTGAATGGTTTCATATTTTTCATGTCAGGACCTTTTATAGCTGACAATAAGGTATGGGTTTTTCTCATTTTTGAAGCTGTATGGTTGCCTATAATTGCTTACATCCACTTCATGTGAACTTTGGTGGATGATTGTCTCATCCGCAATCATACAATGTACACATCTGCTTATTTCTATATGGTACCGTAATGAATTATGGAAGGCAAATTATGGTCTCCTGTTACACTTGGTGTCATTCGTGGGAAAGTACATCATAGGACATTGTGATGTTAAGATATTTGCATTGAGCTGTCAAATATTTTTGGAAAATGCACTATGTGGAAATTGGGTGCAAGACAAATCGGCCGGATGACAACTCTTATAATATCTTAATAGTTTAAACTTTCTTTAATACTTTGTCTTGGTTGGCATTATAGACAGTCCAAGTTGACATATTTGTTGGTCAGAGTTGTCTCTGGGACAAGTTGTCCCATCTTCTGGAAAATCAAGTATTATTTAAACTCCTGTTGGCTACTTAAAAATGTAATATGATTTCTGTATCATTAACATGCAAGGTTAATACAAAAATCAGACGGATCTAAAATTTGAGAAAAGAGGGGCATAACCCTTATAACAATGTATAATGTTGATGATCATTGCAATATAAAATTTGTACATCTTTAAGGTTCATGTGGACCCTTTGACTAAAATGGCTGCATTTTCAACTCAAACTTTACTCTGAGTACAGACAAACCTGTGAATCTGGAAAATTTTTAAGGCATAGCATGCTCTAGATAAATAAAATTCAAATGCATTTATGTTTTACTTTTAGAAAATTAAAAATTTTGCAGTGCACTTTTTTCATTCCTCCTGAAGGTGCCAAAATAAACAAAGTTGGGAGAGAGGTTTGATAACTTCCCCACAGGTAATAATTGGAGTGAACTGAGGCATATTTTTTTGTTTTTCGGTAGTAAGCCAGAAGAGGTCCATTTCTGTTTTTTTGAATAGGAAAGATCTTCTGGCTCTCTTCCACCTCTTCTCTTTTGATAGGTAGTTTAGACGACAGAGGCACATAACAAACATGGCGTCATTTAGTCTAAATGACATTAATAAATTTGTGAATGCAGATACATGTATATATATATATTAGAATGTGAGCTGTGTTATAAACGTTTTTATGGTATGACAGTCTTAGAAGGACATCCCTGTAGGACGATAAGCTGGATAAATATATGAACTACACAGACAATAACAGTTAAGGGATGACTATTTGATATTCTAGGGAAGGGATTTTGATTGATTGGTGTTAAACGCTACTTTCAACACTAAGTTGGGCTATTCCGTGGTGGTCAGTTTAAATTTATAGATGAAGGATGGGGAAGGGAAGAGGGGATTATTAACTTTTTAATCTGTCGCTACATGTACATGTAATTATGCCTATTTTTCAGCCCTTACCAGTCAACCATATTCATATATGAAATCCTCCTGTCCCCCACCCCAATAAAAGGAATAAATATCAAATGATTTTTCTGCTTATCTAACACAAGTTTTAATTGATTGACTGTTTGTTGCTAATTTGCTAATAAGTCAGGTATATAATATAAAAACGAAGAGATGTATGATTGCTAATGAGGCAACTATCCACCGGAGTTCAAATATGAAGTGGATGTAAGCAATTATAGGCAACCGTAATTAAGGCCTTTAACAATGACAAAACCTGATACTGTATCAAAAGTCATCTATAAAAGGCCCGACGTGAAAAGTGTGAGAAACAATTCAAAGAAAAAACTAACGGCCTAATTATACATAACAAAATAATTTACAAATATGAGTCGAGACATGAACCAACGACAACCACTAAACTATAGACTCCTGACTTGGGACAGGCACACAAAGAATATGGCAGGGTTGATATAAAAACGAAGATTGCCAATAAGACAACCCTCCACAAGAGACCAAATGACACAGCAATTAACAGCTATAGGTCACCGTACGGCCTTCAGCAATAAACAAAGCCCATACCGCATAGTCAGCTATAAAAGGCCCCGAAATCACAGATGTAAAACAATTCAAATGAGAAACTAACATGAATTAATGTACAAAAAAATGAACGAAAAACAAACACCTGTCTAGGGACAAGCACATACATACAGAATGTGGCCGGGTTAAACATGTTAGTGGGATCCATCCCAACCCGCCCCTAACCTGGGACAGTGGTGTAACAGTACAAGAACATGTTTGCGAGCGCTCAACCCTTCCCGAAGCTGGGACAGTGGTGTAACAGTACAATATACAATGTAAGAACAACCTGCACAAATCAATTGCAATTAGATTAACTCAAAATACGAGACACACCAAAAAAAAACTTACATTAAGACAATAGACACAAAGCACCGAAATAAGAGTATTTGCAATTACTGGAAGTTAGTTCAAAGCTAATAACAACTAGTACTGAAATAAATCTTGTTCTCCCAGATTGAAGTATCAATCAGTACACAACCAACGGATTTATTAAAAAAAAAGAAAAAAAAAGAGTCTGAGAAATGTCTGGTATACATTGTATACTTGCATATTGATACATATACAATGAAAATTTTTTGAAAAGTGGTGGTCAGAAGGTTTTGACCATCGAAATTTTGCAATAGAATTAAGTTAGGACCAGAAGATTTTCTTCAAGGATCACCAGAGAAAAATGATTTTGAGAACTTTCTGACATCTTTGCTTTATACAAAAGTAATCCAGTTTGGTTACTTTAAAAAAATTGGATAGACAAGATGTCCTTTTTGATCATATTTGAGACAAACATTGACAAATTTTATTGCAGTTTAAGATTATTCTTAAAAATCAAATAGTGGGGGTTTAAGCCAGATTTGTCTAGCAAATTTGAGTTAGAGGAAAGAACAAAGAAAAATGTCACGAACAGAGCACACTTTTTACAGTCATGTCTACCGGACGTATTTTAATCTTCTATAAAATAATCGTAAACTTCATTTATGTCATCCAACATAACAAAAATCTGCTATATTCGACGGCAAATTGAATTTTTGTTTTATTGATCTTCCATAGAATATCTCCAGGAGAGGTCCAGATTAATTTTTTGGGACTCTTCACCAGAAGACATTCTGGAGATGTGCAGAAGAGACCAATAAAACACGCCCCTGTATTGATTGACATGGACAATATATATATAGAGCCTTTTTATTAGAGGGACAATAGATACCAGACAATAATTAGTGATTTAAACTGTGTACCTGAGTGGACCATATCAAGTGAAACTCAACTGTTTGTTAATTTTATCATCTTCTGCAGGGATGAAAAAAGTGCACAGCAAAATCCAGTAAAGTTTTAAATTTTCTAAAACATAAAAAGCATTTGAATTTTATTTTATATTTATCTAGGGCATAATATGCCTTTAATACTTTTCCAGATGCACAGGTTAATCTGTATTCAAGAGTAAATTTTGAGGTAAAAATGTAGCCATTTTAGCCGGGGGATCCATATGAACCTTAAAGAAAAAATAATTTTTTCTTAGATTTAAGGCCCTCCTAATCTGCCTCTGAAAAACGCACTTTGGACATACGACCAGGGCAATGTAAACCATAATTTAGGTCTAATTTTATATTTTTCTGCGAATATAATAAAAACATCAAACGGCTATTAAAAATCACACACCACATTCAGGCGCAGCTTCCCCTATTGTTAGAAACACACTCGATCCGAGTCCGGATAATCGTGGTCCAGAGTTGACAGCTTGTTGACTGCACGACCCACACGTGTCTCCCTTGACAGGTTCCAAACGTTTCACTTCAAAAACCTGAATTACTCCATCTTCATTCTCTACTTGAACGTTTGCGACATCGCACATTTGACCAAGCTTCACTTTAAAAGCACAAAAAGTAAGTAAAAGTTGCAAAACAAATCTAACTTTCTTTTCCATGTCACCAGTTAAGTTAACTTTTCACGCCTCCACTGGTTAGAGAGTAGATTAGGGTAATGAACTCGTGTGTAATATGCTGAACATGCATTTTTATAAAACATGGTTTAAAATATAGATTAAATGAATATTTTTTTTGTCAAATTAACACGAACAAGTTAGATTCAATTTTAAATTTACTGGATACAAAAATAGATTGACAAAGCAAAATTCGATGACGTCATAGCAAAATACTGAACGTCACGTCAACATCCAAGATGGCGGTAAAATTAAGTCAAATCTGAAAAAAAATTCTGAAAATGGTTTGAAAATGGAAAATCCCCATGGGTTGGCCAAATTTAAAAATCAGTGAAACAACCAGACGTCGACTTGCAAAGATAGCTGCTGGTCTCAACGTTGCTGGCATATTAATGTGTTTGATTGTTATGATTACTGGCGCTTATATATTTGCAGCCATTCAAAGTAAGACGCACTTGATTGAAGATTTTGATCCTAATTCGCTGCCAATATTTCTGATTATTGTTTCGTTTGTTGGAATGTTTACAAGTGCTTGTGGAATCAAAATTTGCTGGAGCAATCATAAACCCAAAAATCGCGCAAATTTGAATCTATTCTTGTTTATATATATAATTATGGTGGCAGTCTTATTTTTGTGTGTTTTTGTATCCGCTATAATATGCTTTGTTGCTATTGGACTTCTAGAAAAGGGATTCTCTACTGGTATTTCATCGTCAATGAAAAAATATAAAGATATCCAAAGTAAGAAAGCAGAGATTGACCAGCTTCAAATTGAGTACAGATGTTGCGGTGATAAAGCATATACAGACTGGTTCAAAGTCACTTGGATAGACGAAAAATACCTGAGTTCAACTAAGAAGAAGAATATTGAACGGTAATTTGACCGAACTTGAATGTCAAAAAGTTCGATTTTACAATGTTTTGATAAGATACAAAATAATTGAAATATAAATTTTGTTCCAACTTTCGGCTATATTCTCTATTACAACTTACACTATATAACATACCATTTGTTAAGGGAGCAACCATTTAACTTCAGGGGGGTTATGGTTTTTTGTCTGAGTCAGAACATTTTTTTTTAGTTTTTCGACGCTATCAATCAACTTGAATTGCTTTTTTTTAAATTTAACGCTATAAGGACACTAAAGGTATGGGGAAAATCTGGATTCAGAATATTTTTTTTTGTCATCTGCTTGACCACAATATGTTTTTTCATCAAATTGGGGATCAGAATATTTTTTTAGAAAAAACTATACCCCCCCCCCTTTTGAAGTTAAATGGTCGTTCCCTAAGAGCAAAGTAGACATTGGTCTCTCAGTTGTTGCATGCAAATCATAAACATTCTTCCTTTTCTATACCATGTAGCTATCTAATGAAAATACAAAATTTGTAACCCTTTACCCCATCCCTCTTTGGTTTCATGTCGTTAAGGCATAATAATAATACTGACCTGATTGATTGGTCACGTGTGATTGGTATAGTAACTGATGTGCTATTGTTGACACATTTTAAATACGTTATTTCACTTGATATATTTAACAAATACATTTCAATATTTTATTCTTTTTAATGTACAATAAAACAATATGTGTACTGTTGCCTTTGAATGATTGCAATTAAGTCTATCAAAACACGGGGGTCCTCGATGGCCAAGTGGTCTAAGTAGTTCTACTACTGTAATCACTAGCCAGTCAACACTGAGGTTGTGAGTTCGAACCCCGCTCGTGCGGGTGCACTCGACTCCAATCTTAATTGACTAGGATTGTCAGTTTTCCTATCGAAGGTCGGTGGTTTTCTCCGGGCACTCCGGCTTCCTCCACCAATAAAAACTGGCCGCCACGAAATAGCCCAAAAGTGGCGCTTAAAAGTGGCGTTAAAACACCAACGATCAATCAATCTATCAAAACACCGACGTGAATTATTTTGGGAGTATGAAAAAACTCTGGTCTTCACTGAGAAAAAACTTTTTCTTTTCACACAGTACAATCAAGCCTCATCTGTTGTAATTATTAACTATTAACGATATCTACACAATATAATTGTTCCTGAACATGCACAGACTTAAAATTTCTTTGTTGAAAACATTTTTATTCTTTACAACAATGTTTATATCGTCAAATTATTAGTGGTAGGAGTAGACTAAAAAAGTGGTGGTGGGGTGGGGGGAGGGACACACTTCTGAAAGTGACTAGCAAAAAAAATCCTTTCCTGTTGTCATATAGTCAAGAAGTAAGTCAATGTCCTCTTTCATTTTTATTATCAATTATGTTTTTGTTTTTGTGGAGATGGGAGCAAAAACATAGGTAAACCCCAGTTCTCCTACGCCAGTGATTATCGGAATTTCTTCGGGTACTAACTGCGAACTTTCAAGTTATTTCAGGTCTTTTTCTTCATTGTAATGAATCTTCTTATTTTCATGGAAAAACTTAAAGGGCAAGATAAAATTCTGAAATATTGACAATACTAGAGGTTAATTTGATGATGACGTGCAGTTTACTGTTGATTATCACTAGGGGTGTCACGGAATAGAAGTTCCTTCATAATATAAGTTCCAAATGGAAACAATATTCTGGAATATTATTTCCACTGGAATAAATATTACAGTAAATGTTCCTAAGGGAATAAATGGTATAGAATATTTGTTCTAACAGGAACAGATATTATGACATTGTTTATAACAAAGTTTCCAGTGGAACTTCTGTTAGGCGGAACAAATATATGTTGACAGGACTATTATACTAACGTGTATTACTATTACAGAATTTACCTAAATTACACGGAAAAAGATAAACAGCAGCCCAGTAGGCAGGAGTACAATACTAGAAGTCCTAAGATCATCCCAATTTTATGCATGAACGACTGAAATCGACACCATAAGTTTTACCTACACGTTATTTTTGTGTCTCAACTCACGAGAGACATGTTTTCATGGTCTTAGATCTAATAATACAATAATTGGTTTAATAAAGTTTAAGTATTCATATTCATATTTATACAAGACAAGCCATCTGATCTGTAAAATGTGTTCAGTGCCATATTGGAATTTTTGGACTGAGAATATGGATTCGCATGGCGGATGAAGCAGGCATATAACAAGAAAATAAACCGGTCTCGCAACGTGTGGAGTTCATGCGATTCCTTCAGTTTTTGTTTGTATGTTGATAACATTGATTTACGAGATTTGATATTGTACAAAACTGATACTTGGTTATCTATGAATGATGCCGAATGTATTTATCTCGAATGAACTTCAGCTCAATGAAGCTAATAATGACAGACAGTAAATATTTTTTAGACAGAAATATATTGGTATAAAATTGAAAATGGAAACTAAAATATCCGACAAAAGAGACGATTTCAACTTTGCCATTACAAACTTCTCTTTTAGATGTCGATTTTTCTCTATCGAAGCGGCATCGATCGATTGTCTCGTATCAGCGTGGTCGCCTCGAGTGCAGGAGGTCGGGGATACAATCTCGGATCGAGTCTAATCAAAGACTTGAAAATTAGTATCTGCTTCTACGCTAAGCGCAGCATTTACGAGTAAGAGCAAAAACTGAATGTCTCAGATTCAGAATAATAAGTACAGAAAGGGTGGCATGCCTTCCTGTGGAATGTTACCTTGTAAAATGCAAGTTAACAATTATATCCAGTGTGTCTGTCTTCTACAGGGTTACCGATACCACAGACTATACACAATAAAAAACAATACAATTGGTGATCAGTATCTTAGCTGTAGTTATAATGTTCTCGTAAAAATTAAAATAAGGTGGCATTTTACACATTTACTTTTATCGTAATGTGATAAATATAACTTAAGTATTTCAAAATTAAATGTTTAAACTCGGGTAAAGTTCTTTCAAATTACAGCAAGGGATGTGGCAAATATTTTATGTACATGTATGTTCAGGACGATCTGGAAACGGGAACTATAATAACTAATTCAGTTTATATGGTTCTAATGCTAACTGACTTCTCCGAAATATTTGCGACGATAAAGCAATCTGATTGAATACAGATCCCGTATCTATGCTTCGCATACATGATCTAATAACTCTTCGTTCTTTCTGTTTTCAAGACCTGTCGGGATCCTCTCGGCAGATGGCTGATTGGCTGATGTAATAATTACCAAAACAGAAAGTAAAACTGAGTGTTGTTAGATCCCCGTAAACAAAGCGTGGCCACATATGAAACGTTTAAGAGTGTTGTTTCTAATTTTTGTGTTTAAGTGTTGTTTCTAATTTTTGTGTTTGTTTTCTAGAGTGCCACTATTCATTACATAGCTGTGGTTACCTTATTTAGAAGTATTTAGTAGCAACATTACAATGCCTTCAAATTTATGAACCGTCTTTCATTTTCTTCTTTAACTTGTGAATAAAAGTTAAATCATGATACAAAATTATATTGAAAGACAACCAAATAATCTTAGTCTATAATGGATGATCTATGTGATAAAATATTGATATGAAGAAATTGTTTCACAAAACTTTAAATCACACTGTTAAATTAATCTATTAGTAGCCCACTAGACTCAGAGAGTCTCTGCTGCATGAGCCAAGGTGTTAACATCATCCTGCCTTGTTCTTCTATAAAGTCTTAGAGCCGTCATCATCTTCCAGTATCATTTAACAGGGAAACAGCGGGCTCCTATACATCGACAGGAAAGTTCCATGTTTCCCAGTCTTATTATCTGCAGTCGGTCCCCAACTTATAGTATTTGGATAACTTTCTCTCATTAGTTTCCTGGCAGCGAGTCTCCCATTGTTCTGCGCTTTCTGATAACAGTAGGAAATCTGACCGTAATGTGGTCTCTACTTTGGGTGAAAATTTCAGCGTCCTCCAAGCTGCAGTACTTTGCTGTACTCAAACTTCAAAGTTCTGCTTCTGCACTTTTTGGTCAAGTAGCTTTCTCCCGCCCTGACGAAGTTGATTAGATTTGCTGAACTGGCTCTTTTGTGGTCTGGTTTCTTCTCTGTCCCTAACAAATAGGCAAGTCCCCGTAAACTTGACACCATTGGTATCCTTCAGTATCGTTTTTTCTGTATCAAATTCATTTACTGAGGATATGGGCAACTTCAACTGACCAGATGTATGATATAACATACGGGGATGTGGTATGATTGTCAACGAGACAGCTATTCAACAGAGTCCAAATGACGTGGATTTAAGCAATTATAGGTCACCGTAGGCCTCTAACAATGAGCAAATCACAATACCGTATAGCAAGTTATAAAAGGCATCGACATGAAAAAATTGTGAAACAATTCAAACGAAAAAAGTAATGGCCTGATTTATAAACGAAAAATAAATTTGTTATTTTTTTTGTGCTTCGCACCAATCCGATGAATGGAAGTCATTTGCAACTATTTTTTACAGTTTGTTGTTATGTTGTCTTATTTTGTGCTATTACATAACTGTCCCATGTTAGCGAAGGGTTAAGGTCTCAAAAACATGTTTAAAACCAGCGCATTCTGTCATGATGTGACGGTTCCAAGATACGAACCTGTAATGTAATGGTTGTTGTTGAAGGCTGTCTGTCATACTTGTTTTTCGTTTATTGTTTTTTTTAACAAATAAGGGGGTAAAGGCCGTTGGTTTTTTCGTTTGAAATGGCCAACATTTGTAACATGTGGAACTGTTATAGCCGACTATGGGTTTTGCTCATAGTTGAATGCCCGCGTACGGTGGTTTATTGTTGCTTGCATCCGCATTTTGATTTTTTTTAATAAATGTTTCGTTGTCAATCAAACCGCGTCTCATTTTTTATATACATACACATTCCGGCAAAATCATTGCTTGATTATCTTACATATATTTTTCACTCCTCGTATCTAAATCTTCCAGCTATAATCTGCGTAATAGCAGTAATAATTTATACAGTTCCAATAACTCCACTTAATCAGTATCAACAATCTCTTCTCTCTTCTTCTCAAGCCCTGGAACAATTTATACATAGTTATATGAAATTTAAGTTCTATGCATACCTTTAAAAAGTCTTTGCAACAGAGGTTTCGACAGAATCATTTGTTTACTTTTCCAGTTCAAAAAGGACGCTTTTTACAAAGATATTTATCAAAAATATTGTTTGTCTGGAGAAATTTTATATATATATCAACTTATTAAGTATATGTTTTGGAAAATATTGACAAAAAAATCTTAATTTACAAATTTTCCGGTTTCCATTTCGGAGATTTCATGATGAAAATCTTAGTTTTTGGCTCAAAATAGTAATTTCTGGTAATTAAATTTGGTAAGTTTCCTTACAAACTCATCTTTGTAATGTTTAAAAAATAGAGTTGCATTTGACAAATTTTCCTATTTCCTATTTTCGGAGATTTAAGATAAAATCTTAGATTAAAGGCAAAATAAAAATTTCCGGTCATGAAATTTTGTCAGTTTCCTTATACAATCATGAATAAAACATATTGCTCATTTATTTATAAAAATTGAAATTTCCCAGTTTTTAATTTTTTTATTTAAAAAAAATCGATGAATTTAACCCACAATCATTAATTTCTACCCCTATTTACTTTGAGTACATCAATATGATGTCAAACTTGATACAAAACACGAGTTCTTTCAGACACCTGTCCCGCTGTCTATTGTTGAGACCTTATAGTTATTTTGATCTCTAGATCAAAGTCTCTTGAATTCTTCTGTCGTTGGGTCTCTGGGTCATTGACGTACATATATGTTCCCACATCTTTAATAGAGATCTAAGCCTGAAGGGGTATTGGGGGTGGGGGTTAAAATTAATACTTAAGTAAAGCCTGTCAGATGACCATATATAGTTAATCGTATTTGGCAAAAAGCCATGCTCCCTGCACTTAAAGGGTCAATTTGCAAAAGTCGAAAAAACTAGCCTTACTGAGAAGGCTGACCCTACCAAAATTCCCCTATTAACCAAACGGCAGTCCAAAAGTCGATAATTTTCAGACAAGTTTTATAATATATTTGGAACTTGTTCACGTCCAGAATTTTATATGATAGCAGCGACTGGATGTTAATCATTCAACGATCAAATCAACCGATCGAATTTACGTTAATAGTTGGGAATGCAATTGAAAAACTATATAGTATAAATGTTTCTGAACGGATGAACAATACGTTTGAAGTAAAATATTTAAAAAAAATAATAGGTATTACTTTTTAAACACGTATCTGAATATTAAATCAAAACGACATGGGATTTTTTTACTATGTTAAATAGTACTGTCAGACAAGGTGAAAAGTTGTCTCCTTTTTATTCTCGCTTTAAAAAAATGATTTAATGGACAATTGGTCTTGAAAATATATGAATTCAGAGACGATGTAAGATTTTAAAGTTAAGAGTTATTTAACAGTTATTTATAATACTTGAGCCGATGACACAGTGGCGGAATAAAGTTCAAAGCTATTGTTAGATCTGACGCTTTAATATGAACGTAGAAAAGAAATAAATAATAGTCTTTTAGCAACGGAAGAACCCTAGAAATCGACATTTCAAATACATTCGAAACCGATTGAAGTGAAGTTGTAAATGGCTTTAATTATGTCTATAGGAATAATATACTATAAAACAAGAAACTTTAAAATATATGCCAACCCCACTTAACAGAAAATTCAACTGAGGCGAGGTATGCCCCCCCCCCCCCCCCCCACCTCCCAAAGAAAAAAAAACAATATAAAATAATCAAAAATATATATTTATGTTTTTATTTAAATTAAAGACATTAAAGAAATATAAAACGCACTCAACAAGTCAAGTGTGTTTTATTATGATTTGTTGTCTTACTTTTTATGTTTTCTCTTTTTGTATAATTATCTTTATTCATACACGATAGTGCAATATGACCACAGTCTTATGGGGAGAATTGGCCCAATTTTTGTTTAGAATGACTTAAAAGTGCGACCTGGTTTCGAGAAAAGTAAAAAAATATTTTGTTTGTTTTCAATAAATAAAAGGATAAACAGTGAATGGGTCAATAAACTTTTAATCTTCGATATTATTGCAGGACTGGAGACAGTTATTTGAATGACGATGTTCCATTCAGCTGCTGTAATCCAATAAGGGATAGACCATGTGTCCATCATCATGTCCATGACGATGACATGCATTTCAACTATGACTTTAAGACTAAGCTTTCCCTCTTCAAGATTGGATGTACAACTGCTTTGATGAACTTCTATGGTAAAAAGGTTCTCAGTAATATCGGTTGTGTCATCGTGGTGGTATCGATTTTAGAGGTAAGCTAAGTTAAACATGTATTCTGGGAAATGAATAAGAAAAGATGTGTGGGGCTTTTTGCACAAGAAGAATACAATAGTCTGAGGATTTCAAGTAATATATATATATAAGTCTAGCTGAATTAACATTTGTACTGAAATACAAAATGTATTTTATGATTCCTAGAAAGAGATAGAAATGCGATACTCGACGAGCAGTTTTGTCAAAATTCTTGCCGAATACAATTAACCTCATAACCATTAATAAAGTATGGTCACTGTTCTTTGTCTACCTCAAGAGGTCAAAAACAGAAAGTTGTTTCAAAACTTCATTGAGGTCTGGAGCTGGCATGTCAGTAACTGCTAGTATATATATATATAGTCTGTTGTTATTTATGTATTATTGTCATTTTGTTTATTTTCATTTGTTTCCTATTCTGACATCGGACTCGGACTTCTCTTAAACTGACTTTTACTGTGCGTACTGTTGTACGTTTGTTTTTTCTACATTGGCTAGAGGTATAGGGGGAGGTTTGAGATCTCAAAAAACATGTTTTACCCCGCCGCATTTTTGCGCCTGTCCCAAGTCAGGAGCCTCTGGCCTTTGTTAGTCTTGTATCATTTTTAATTTTAGTTTCGTGTGTATAATTTGGAGTTTAGTATGACGTCCATTATCACTGAACTACTATCGTATTTGTTTAGGGCCAACTGAAGGACGCATCCGGGTGCGGGAGTTTCTCGCTGTGTTGAAGACCCATTGGTGGCCTTCGGCTACTGTCTGCTCTATGGTCGGGTTGTTGTCTCTTTGACACATTCCCCATTTCCATTCTCAATTTTATTCTACTACCAATTGCTTGTTAAGAATCCACAGCGTCAGCGGCTAGAATGTTTTTGATAAGTTAACTGAATCTTTATGAAATATTTGCCACTGCATGGTATGCAAACAGAAAATACCCTATTAATCAAAGTATATTCAGGGTATAACATCATATGTACATTATTAAGGTAGCACAATACAAAGATTTTTTCACCCCCAATCAGACAACTTTAAACTGATGTAATTTCTTTCATCCAGCTTCAAATTTCATAAATGAGGTACCAAAAGAAAGAAGAAAGATTAAGCTTTCAAATGGTGATTACTTCGTTATGACATGATTATTACATAATTAATTATTATGTAATTAGTTGCTATATTGTGATGTCCACACTTGAATGAAATTAGCTTCTTTGTTATTCATACCATCCCAAAATATTTTATAGATTCTTGTGCAACACAGTTTGACCTCCAAAAGGGTGTCTTAGATTTTTCCTATATTGTATATCATTCTCTCATAAACCTTTAAAGAAGTTTGCAACCTCAATTCATAAGAGATCACTAAATCAAATTGGGTATAAAATTGTTCTATTGATGTTTTTGGAAATTTTGAAGATAACTGGTCAAGGAACAACATGTGTGAAAATTAGGCATGTAGGGGCACCCATCTAGGAGCTAATTTCATTTAAAACTACATTTTCATGACAAAATGAATGTGTCACAGTTGAATAAATAAGGATTTTCCTACTTGTACCCCATTAACTTCAATATAATTCACACATATATCATGGGGATACTTCAGGATTGGCCTTTAATCATAAATCAATTAGGTTTTGACCAGTAAGAAAGCATTCCAATTCAGCAATTCTAAATATATACAGAAAATGCACACCCTATGCATCAAAAATCAGATCTGGCGGGAGATGTTATTTCATTATTGACCTTGCTGTAAGTCAATTGCTACTGAATGGTAAAACTCCGCCCACCTTTACTATTAATGATCTCATAAGTTTATTTACACATTGCATTTACTTTTTTCAATATGGATTTTATTCTTTTAGTACATAAAATGATATATTTTGTTTTTTTGCATTGTTACAAAAAGTAAGTTATGCAGGTGTACACAAAATGATCAGTTGGTCAGTCTAGAGGATCCTTATGGGGGATTTCTATAATTATAATTGTATATAATGACAATATGGTGTTTTACACAAAGTAGATTTTTTTCATTTTTTGCAGTTTGAAAATGAAATATTTAATTTGTATTTTCTTTTAAAAAGAATTCATATTAAACATTCTCCTCAAGAAATTCTAGTATAAACATCAGCAACATTAACTGTTGTACAATTATATTTGTTTAATATCTGTACATTTATATTTTGATTCCCTCTACAGCTCCAAATAATTGTTTTGTTTTTTCTCCTGGCAGCTCCAATACAGAAATGTATTTTTATTTGGAATTCATTATCTTCATTTTTCCATAAATCCTTAATTCACCTCTTTTTCATAACTGTTATTTTTATTGGTGGTCAGTGGTCGTAAAGCTATCGGTCAGACAAGTGCATTTGTTTATAAAACTAATTATCATCAAAACTCATTAACAGTGCAAGATATGTAAATAATTTTTTCTTCTGTGGTTTTTGAATATTAAGAAGTAAGAAACACAGCTGAAAATGAAATTTTGATAACATTAAGTTGCTTTTGTATTGTGCTACCTTAATCGATCAAATTATGTAAAATGATAATAAACAAAAATAAGAAAAGTTAATGCTGTGAAGTTAATTATTCAAGTTCAATTTCCTTTCAAATTGTAATGCAAAAAAAACATCTTCCTGTTCAGGAGAATGTCTCGGCTGATTGATTGATTTCGTTTGCTTATCGCTGAGTGAAAATCGGTGTATGTACATTGAGACTCAAGTGGTCAGCCTTTCTTGTCTCACGGATGAAGGTCCTGTCAAACAATAGAGACAGTGTAAAACAAGAATAAAATGGCAAGGGACAAACGTGCAGGCGACATTAAGATTAATATTCACGCATATCATTTTTATGCCCCCGCCGTAGCGGAGGGGGCATTAAGTTTTACCCTTGTCCGTCAGTACGTCCGTACGTCCCAAAGTTGGGTTCCGTTCTCTAACTTTAGTTTGCCTCAACCAAATGCTATGAAACTTATACACAATGCTTATTACCACAAAATACAGATCAAGTTTGAATTTTGGTAGTGTCACTTTTATTGTTCTAGTGTTATGCCCCTTTACAAATGGAAAAATTGCTGAATTTTTCGTTTCCGTTCTCTAACTCAAGTTAGTCTCAACCAAATGTTATGAAACTTATACACAATACTTATTACCACAAAATACAGATTAATTTTGAATTTTAGTAATGTCACTTTTATTGTTCTAATGTTATGCCCCTTTACAAATGGAAAAATTGCTGAAATTTTTCGTTTCCGTTCTCTAATTTAACAAGTTTGCCTCAACCAAACTTTATGAAACTTATACACAATACTTATTTCCACAAAACTCAGATCAAGTACAAATTTGGGTAGCATCACTTTTAACGTTCTTCAGTTATGTCCCTTTATAACTTTATATGATATGCTTGGGGGTTATCATCTGTGTCCCATGGACACATTCCCCATTTATTTTTTTAAAATTTATGACCTTTATTTAATTTCTAAAAAGAGTAATCAGTTTGATGACCGGGAAATTGTATTTATTTTAACATTAAAATATATGTGATATGTATCCGTTTATGCTAAATACATTTTGCCAGTTGTAGTAAGTTACCACTTTCCCCCTTTTTTCAATTTTGTTTGCTTTCACCGTCTCCTCGAGCATTTTGGTTGAAAACGTCGCATTTCCGCACGCTATATTTAATTGGCACGTTTTGACGTCGGGCACTTGGGTTTACTCCTGGTTTGCCCACATTTAATTATACCAATTATTCATTAGTAAAGAAAACAAAAAATACAAAAGGTTTAATGAGCATACAATTGTATAGTCTGTTCCAACTTAATAAGTTTATAGTTTATTTGTGTTTTCTATATATGTTCAGGTTTTGGGCTGTAGTTTTATAAGAAATGGCCTTTTGTTATGCCTCATCCGCTACTATGAGGGGGCATTAAGTTTTACCCTTGTCCGTCTGTACGTCCGTCCGTACGTCCCAAAGTTGGTTTACATTCTCTAACTTTAGCTTGTTTCAACCAAATGTTATGAAACGTATACACAATGCTTATTACCACAAAACACAGATCGAGTTTGAATTTTGATTGGTGGCGTCACTATAACCGTTCTAGAGTTATGTCCCTTTACAAATGGAAAAATTGCCCAATTTTTCGTTTCTGTTTTCTAACTTTAGTTTGTCTCAACCAAATGTTATGAAACTTATACACAATGCTTATTACCACATAATACAGATCAAGTTCGAAATTGGGTGGCGTCACTTTTACCGTTCTTGAGTTATGCCCCTTTATAAACATTAAACTGCTGAATTTTTCGTTTCCGTTCTCTAACTTTACTTCAACCAAATGTTATGAAACTTATACACAATGCTAATTGCCACAAAATACAGATCAAGTTTGAATTTAAGTGTCACTTTTACCGTTCTAGAGTTATTAGATATAAGAAGATGTGGTATGAGTGCCAATGAGACAACTCTCCATCCAAGTCATAATTTATAAAAGTAAACCATAATAGGTCAAAGTACGGTCTTCAACACAGATCCTTGGCTCACACCAAACAGCAAGCTATAAAGGGCCCCAAAAATTACAAGTGTAAAACCATTCAAACGGGAAAAACCAACGGTCTAATCTATATAAAAAACGAGAAACACTTATGAACCACATCAACAAACGACAACTACTGACCATCAGATTATGCCTGTTTTCAAATGGTAAAATTGCTGAATTGTTCGTTCCTGTTCTCTAACTTAAGTTAGCCTCAACCAAATGTTATGAGTCTTATACAAAATACTTATTACCACAAAACACAGATCAAGTACAAATTTGGGTAGCGTCACTTTTACTGTTCTTCAGTTATGTCCCTTTATAACTTTATATTATATGCAAGCGGGGGAATCATCTGTGTCCCATTGACACATTCCCCATTTATAGATTTTACGTTTCCGAGTTATGGGGTTTTATTACAAATGTTCTATCACAATAGTGAAAAATTACAATGTTGCCCTTGTTTTCTGGTATTTGGTGATT